ATATTGCTGACTATTGAGAGAGATATAAGTATCCGACCAAAAGACGATATTGCCACAGTACAGAGAACGATAAGCCAAGCACTTTATAAGGCACCTCAAACTTGGGTAATTAAACTACAAATATATCAATGATATGTTATAAAACAATGTGTAACATGGATCTAAGCAAAATGTAGAATGACTGAGACGACGACCGAAAGAGTCACGGGCTTTTATACTGGACTGCAGGTGTTTCGCTTCTACAGTCCAATCGCAGCTTTTTGTGTGTTTTCCATGCATGTTTTTCCGTGGCTTCTGCGCTTCTGTGACTCTGCAGATGTTCTCCTGGAATTCCATCGTCGTCATCATTCAAAGCATGAACTATTAAAATATCTACTACGCTACGTAATCGCGGCTCACCGCGATATTCCCGGCCGCCAAAAGTGAAACGATGAGAGGACTGTAGTCCAATTATGCTTCTGCTCTGTTTCGTCGAAGTTTTCTGATGATGTTCTTCTTAGCTGATGGATGCGGATGCTGACGTCTTCGTAATCTCGCCGCAATGACTCCAACTCATCCTGAATGCGGCGGCTTTTCTCGGGTAGCGTGCACAGTGCCGAATTGTGTCCTGAACGTCTGCAGTAGAAGCACTTCGCTCTATATTTGCGACAGGCGCGCCCTCGCTCGCAGAAGTCATCAAGGCACACTGAGCACCGTCCGGCACGTAAAAGCCGTTCTCTGCGTTCATCTACGAATCTGAAGATGCGGCAGGAGTCAGAATAGTGTTCCCCAATCCTTCCGCAAAAAACGCACGGCATTCGCTCTTCATCGAGATTGCGAATGTATCCTCTGGAGAAGTGGCGTAGCCGACACTGTGGTTCACTCTCCAGGTTATCCATCCTCATTCTGTAATCTTGCTTCAATTGTCTAGCTTGCCGTAGTTGTTGCTGTAGGTCCTCTATTTCATCCCTAATCGGTGGAGGAGAAGGACTGGGTGTGTGCTCTTGGACGTCACTTCGGTGTTCGTCGTTGCTGGTTCTGTCGTCTGCGTCATCACCGTCATTCTCGACCTTCATCAACCATTACGAGGTTATCCTCTGGCTCCAGGACCGCTTCGCCCAGTTCGTCTATGGATTCGAGGAATTCGGCGTTCTGTTCGATCACTATCCTCTCCTGTTCCTCCTGAATCGCCATTTGGTTTTCATGTTCGACATTCTGATTCTGCTGTATCACCTCGACTTCCGCTTCTTCAGCGTCGAAATTCGGGGCCCTCTCCAGTTCAACTTGTTCCTCGTGGGTGTCAACGTTCCTGTCCGTCGCTTCCTCATTCTCTGGATATTCCCTATCGAGGTTCCGAGGCATTTCCATGGATACTGGTTCTTCGCTGGCGTCGGAGTTGTTAGCCATAGCCGTCTCCTCTTGTTCTTCGTCTGCTTCGACGTTTCGGGCATGGGGAATATTCCAAGTCTTGTTGAACCGTACCAGTTTCAGCGACGCCGTCTTGTGCAGTTTCTTTCGAGGTGGAATCATTATGAAGGAGATGGAGTATGAGGTGTCGAAGTGACCGCAATTCTGAAAGTACTTCATTGCGGAAGTGATTTTCTTCTTGGAGACCCTCCTCCATCAATGCGTCTCCGTATTCACGCACGTTGGTGCTGTGCTCTCTCAGTATATCGAAAGTGTCAGAAATCGCCTTGTCCAGTTTCGTGTAGTCAACCAGCAACGGGTTTCCGTCATCGTCTTCTTGCTGCCTTTCAATGATGGTCCTCCATACTTCCGGTTCGATCTTATGTGTTGCGATGAGGAGCCCTGGGAGAGCCCAAAGCGTTGCCAGCTGTGACCGTGTGAGCTGAAGATCAAGCCTGACTCTTTCGATCATCTCTACAAGAACGCGGTAAGCAGTATAGCGTTCCTGCCAAGTATTCGGGGATCTTCTCAACCATATGATATTTCGTTGAATGTTCCAACAGATCTCGACAAAAGCCAAAATCGTCGACACATCTGTATAATCCTGGCATACAGCTCTTCTGGTTCTGGAAGAGGAAGGAAGAGCATTCCGTAAAGCGTTGTAGTCAGCTTGCAGGCGTCTATAGTCCGTCATCTATAAGTGGACTTTCACTACAGGTGTAACTACATTATTGCAGAGGAAGTGGTGCCTTTTTGTCTACTATCTACATTTTTCCTATCGTGCTATGGAGTGAGCGTCTAAGCAATCCTAATCAGAAAAAAGGGGAAAGAAGAAGGCTTCTCGCTTCAGTAACTTTTTTCATGGGTATAGAGCGGTATGCTACGCTCCTGTCGTCGAAGCCGGATCTTGTGAAGTATCCAAGTTACGGTTCGTATTGGGCAGCTGAAGAGCATGAAAACAAGGTTAATCAGCAAGCGCCCTATACGAAGCCCTATTGTCGGTAAATAGAGATAGGACAGCAGCAAAGCTAGTCCTAGTATCCACTATGCCAATTAGTAGCGTTTTATACCAGCCAAAGATGACATCTGCTACATGGCTGAAATCCGGCCACTGGAAGCTGTTATAGGTCGTACTGTTCCCTTTAAGCATGGCTGCAAAGGCCATGGAATTGTGCCGGTGTACTTGAGAACTCCCGCGAGCACGAAGTGGTTGGTAACGGATCCACATGATATCGAACAGTTAAGGAACTGTCGAGCGGAATCGAAGTTGAATCGTAACAGAGATTCTGGTGACTGTTGTGAACATGGTACGACAAACGACTCTTGGTCGCAAAGAATCTCACCCAGTGTATCTTTATCCGACGTGCATCGTATCTTTGCTTGTGCTCCTTGTGAACAGCGATAGCATCCGTGAAGCTCTGCATTTTCTACGGAGCATTGGTCGTTGTAAATCAGCAAGGATATGGTGTCTAGGGTGGAGTGAAAGTTTATGGATAAGTCAGCTGATACCATATCAGGTATCTTCGCGATAACCATGTTCTTCTTGGTCGTTTCGAGCTCCCAGGTGGCAGTTTTTATCGGGAGCTTTGCCTCGAGATGGTTGAACTCTTCCTCAATGTCGATGGTGGGACATTCACATACGACTTTGCTCTCGGCAGCCGCGCAGCGACAGTCGTCTGCTAGCGAGCAATTCGTTTTGAGAGCGTCTAGCTGGAAGAACAAATGAGGTTTGGTATTTTGTCGTTCCGCCATATTGATGTCTCGTGTCCATTAGTTATAAAGTGACTGTGGAGTAACGGTGTCGGGGGGAGGCTTATGGAGGTCAAGGTGAGCCGTATTGATGGGAGCTCTACTGGTATATTCGGCTTCACCATGAGCTCATGCTGCTGTTGTCCCCTCTCATGACGGAAATTTTCTAGCGTGAGAGTCAGCTTCACTTGCTGTGACCATCGCATACAGCGGAACACTTCGTAAACCGTGGATGTTGTCGGAACTGCATAAATCCTGTAAAACAAGCAACCTGAACTGAGGTAGAAACAGTCGCAGCCAAAACCACCACATGATTCGAAACAACCTGTGCGGCCTGGAAAACGATTAGCTGTTCCCAGTTCAGGAATGAGAGACGAACTGTTAACATCGGCGCACTTCTGTCCGGTGCAGGATCCCATGTGCGGACAACGTTTGCTATCTAGGACTCTGAGGATGCTAGGACGTGTGAAATATAGCGTCTCTCGTTCACAAGTGAGGTATAAACCTTCCCATCGTACTCGCACAATGGAGACGAGCGAAGAATTATATAGCACGCTCAGACATGCTTCCCTTTTGAAGGTATTGAGTTTTCAAAGTTTCGTAATTGTCACATTGCACATTTGACCTTCCTTGGATAGGGAGCCCACAGTTGATTGGTGTTCAAATACATCAACTTGCTGGCAGGCTATTGCTTCTCGATGTGATATTGCGACAAGGCAAATTGCTACTGCTAATGCCATCTGAAATGCGAACGCGTCGAGTGCCCCTGTGTCTCTTGGTTGCATGTCGCAAAAGCCTTAAAGCACAGCGTCCAATTCGATACAGGATCCACGCGAGAACCAGGTATGTTCCATAAAGTAGAAGGCGTATCGGCTTTCCTACGGTGATTGGAACATAGAGTAGAAGGAAACATCCTGCTACTATGAGGTAGATGGTAGCTATGATGATGGATATTGCTCCTACTGGCCAGCATTCTGGATTGAACATTAGCTGTGCGCAGAGCCAACACTCGATATTTTCGCAAAAATCTAGTGCTCCTACAAACTGTCTCCATCTTAGTTAACTCTCCTTTCATTATCCATTTGAAGGGTGATCCGATAGTCTTGAAGTGTGTATTCAGGTGGAAATGTGGCTAATACTGATCGTTTGTAGGTGACGTAACTTTTGCAAAGGTTATCCGTGCAGATCTCAAACGTGATGTTGGCTTTAGAAGTTGAGACTAAGACTCTTTTTTGGTGCAAGACATCCGCATAACTGGTGCTTGAGACGCTGCACTGGCTCTTATCAAGCTGATCAACATCAGGTAGAAAAGGAACCACTTTCGGGCAGTGGTGTGGCATGATGGAGAAGAAAGTGCTGATGTTACAGCCCGGTTGTTGGATCGTGTGTTGCGCGGCCGCAGATTATAGCGACGGGTTTCCGTGGCCTGTTCCTGTTGTTCTTCGGCTGGCGGAGCATCTGTGCTTGTCTGTCGCCGCTTGTTCTGTAGGCTCGGGTGGCATGTTCTTTTTGTTCTCCTTGAGGTCTGTACTGAAACGTTGAACCTCCGGTGGTACTAGAAGATTCACTGGTCTTTGAATTTTCCTTTTTGAAGATGTTACTAGATTCCGCTTCGCGAATCTCACCGTCCTTGCTTTGCCGCAATTGGCTTATCCTTGCCATTTTCCATTCGTTACGTGGCAGGACGGGATCGCTGACGAGCACCACATCACCAATTGAGGGGGTGAGTTGACCCTGGCGTCGATGCGATGGTGAAGCGCTTGTGCGTTTCGCGGAGGCTGACCAAGTATTGCTGGTGCCATGATTCCCAGAAACGCTCTGTAGCTTGGCATGAAGTCTGTAAAGCTTCCACCACCTCGCGGCGTGTTTGCAGAGCTCGAATATCTTGTGGCGGCAAATAATCAGGGTCGTCCTAAGAAGTGTCCAGCATGTGCTCCATTGGTAATGTGACGATAATGTCCTTTGGTATGAAGTCAACAGGTCGAATGGAACTAAGGTCCTCGTGTGTATCACCTTGATAGGTAAGTGGCCTAGAATTGAGACATGCTTCTGCTTCCGCAAGTATGGTGTGCAAATGATCTCCTGTACGGTAGTGCGCGCCACGAAGTGCCTTGTAAAGCGCCTGCTTCACCGATTTTATCAGTCGTTCATAAAATCCGCCATGCCAAGGGGCATAGGGAGTAATATGATTCCACTGAATTTCCCTACCAGTGGTTACTCGCCGAACATCCTCATGAGGGAACTCTGGAGAAGTTCCATCTGCAAGGATGTTTGCACCTAATATGAAGGTAGGCGCATTATCACAGGTGATTGAAGAAGGAACCCCTCTACGTGCTATGAACCGCCGTAAGGCGTTTATAAAGTCTTCCGTTCCCATACTATCAACCATTTCCAGGTGAATCAGACGTGTCACCGTACATGTGAAAGATACATCCATATGATTTCTTCTCGTGTCCCGTGGAAGCGGAGCATGGTAAATCAAAAAAGTCTAGCCCCACGTGTTGAAAGGGTGGCTGTGCAGGACTCTACGTGCTGATAGATCCGTTGACTCCGGATACTGATATGGCAATGCATCGAATCGTCTGCATTTTACACAACTTTGTACTAGCTTCCTCACTTGATGACGTAGTTTTGGAATCCAGTACTGTGTGCGCACAGTCGCCATAGTGTGTAGGTGATGATGGTAGGTGCCATGTGTTTCGCTGATGATTAATCTGGCAAGCGGTGTGTTTGGGAGCTATGAAGATTGGACTTTTTGCTCCTTCAGTCAGCGATGCATTTCCTAGGCGTCCTTTTAGAGCGCCAAGTATGTTCTTCATCTTGGAAGAGCCGCAAGGTATTCTCCATGGATTTCCGGTATTTGTGGGTCAAGTAAATAGCCTGGTGGTTATGGATAAGTGCCATTCTTGCGCTACACATGTGGGATCCATTAACTGTAGCGAGGTTGTCTGGAGTCTCGCGGAGTGGTCTCACCTTATCCATAATCTCGTCTATCCTCGCTTGAGAGAGCGGTCTTAAGAGCTTCTTGAGGAAGACGAGTACTATTACTGTTACCCGCTTTGCTCGCGAGAGCGTACTAATCCGTGTAAGATCAATTAAAGGTGTAACAGTACTTGTGACCTCATCCGATTCTAAAGCGGAGATCAGAGATTCGTCGTGGTCATCGTTGGTGTTATCGTCCTCGTAAGAGGAGTACCTTGGGTGGGCCCACTGATCTACCGGTTCATGTAAGAACGTTGGACCAGTCCACCAAATGTGGTTCTGCAGCTGGTCTTTGCTCAGGCCTCGAGTACCTGCATCTGCCGGATTTTCCTTTGTTGTGACGTACCGGAATTCGAGCAAAACGTCTTCTTCGCGAAAGGCGTCTACGGTTCTTCGTATTTCCTTCAAACGATTGCTGACTAGGCGTCCTAATTTGGCGTTATGAACTGATGAACTAAGCCAACTTAGTACGATCTGTGAATCGGAAAAAACGAAGATTCGTGGTAGTCTTCCTGATGAACGAGATTTGATTGCCTGCCATGCCGACATTATTAATCGACACGCCAGCGTAAGGGCGTTGATTTCCAACGTCGGTATTGTCGCTTTGGAGTGCCCCGAAGGTAATTTACATTTCCCCATTGCCAGAGCAGAGTGTGTTCAATTAAAAACGTAGGCGCTCGCTGGCTATTGCACTTGCGTCAGCGAATACAGCCAGATCGTAGCCCTCGAACTTACACAAAAACTGCCTTGGAAAAGATGCTTCATATCCATCTAGATTTTGCGCGATGAATAGCCCATTCGTTGTATAAGGTTGGTAGGAAGTCTCTCGTCCCATCCGAATCCATGTTTCCACAGCTTTTGTTGGAAGCATTTCGCTACCGTAAGGAGTGGAACGAGCCATCCCATGGGGTCATATGTGGAAGCAATTCTTCGGGCTACGAATCTTTTTGTGAGCGTCTCGTCTAGCGGATACTTGCAGCGTATGGTGAGCATGTCTTTTCGGGCGTCCCAAAATATTCCGAGAACCTTTTGAGTTGTGTTCTGGGCCCATTTTTCGCTTGGTATTGTATCGATTAGTGTCAAGTCGTTGGAGAGAAACTGCCGTAGATTCATCCCATGTCCTCGAAGATTTGACATGCCTTTGCCGCTTTTTGCCTAATATCTTTAGAAGAGTCCGCTGCCAGCATGAGATTATCTACATATAAGTTTTCACGAACCTCCTCAGCAAATCTCTCATCTTCTACTGTTGAGCGCAAATGGTGGTGTACTGTTGCACCCAAAAGGAACGGTGATGTGTTGATGCCGAACGTGACCCGCGTGAAACGGAAAGGTGATGATGTTATTGTCATCCACTGGAGCGTTCACATCTTTTACCCAGAAAAATCTCGTGGCATCTCGGTCAAGCTCATGCAGTCGGATTTGCAGGAAAGCTTTTTCGACGTCTGCTATGACTGCATAAGGTGACGTTCGGAACCGTAAAAGCATTGCGTAGAGATCCGGTAGGATCAACGGTCCCTGGTGTAAAACATCGTTCAGGGATGGTTGATCCTTAAAATGAGCGGATGCGTCAAAAACGATGCGCAGCTTCGTAGTTTCCTTCTGTAGAGTAACCACGGGTTGATGAGGAATGTAGTGCAATACGCTGCCCTCTGGTGTCTTGTCATTAGGAATTTCCTCGATAATTCCTTGTTCTTTCTGGTCTCGCATGGTGTTATCATACTGCAACAGTATATCTGGTTGCTGTCTCAGCTTGTTAAGTTCGCTGTATAGCCGTTTAAGGGCCATGGCTCTGTTAGAGGGTAGTGGATCGTGACCCTCTTTATATGGTAAGCGAACATAGTAGCCATCATCTCGTCTCTCAACCGTTTGATTGAAGAACTCGAGAACTTTCTCAATGATGGCTTCCTTTTCCTGCGTCCTTTGTTCCGGTGAATTCGCACACTCCTGATGAGTCCATGGTCCAGTACTTGTCCCAACGTTCCAGGTCTCCGTCGAAATTTGTCAGGGTGTTAATTGTTGCTACGGTTGCAACCTTGCTTGGAGGGTCTTGCTCTGCGAGACTCCTTTGCTTTCCTGTAAGCAGGTAACCGAGCTTCGAAGGAATGAGCTGTAACCCTGAGGGAAGGGTATATTGAGGACAAGCACTATGCAAAAATGTCCAAAGCTGATCGCATCCCAACAGGATCTGTGGTGCGCTAGGTGAATCGTGCAGCGCCGTTGAGAGTACGATATTGTTGCGTGTAAGAAACGCCATATCTTCTTTTGCCAGACTGGTTGTCGTACCTGCTCCTGTGAGTACCTTGGTGGTGTACAGCTTCAACGGGTGTCTTTTGCTCTGCTGGTCCCAGATGTCTACTGCAGTGACGTTACACTCAGTGGTCTTCGGCGTATCCTCGCCGAATGTACGAATCACTAACGTGCGTGTCGTCGAACAGTCCAGATGCAATTGCTGCGCTAACTTTTCACTTATGAAGGATTGGTCCGCACCGGTATCGAAAAGTATGTTCACTTTTTTCTGCCGGTAGCCACCTGCGTCCCCAACCTTCGCAGAACCTGTGAGTAGCCACACACTTTCCTTGTGGGCCTCCCTGTTACCCGCACTCTGCAACACTACCGTTTCTTGCAGGGCTTCGGGCTCGACAAACTGTAAGTGCGCCTCTTCCTCGTTAGTAATCTGGACTGGGTTAGCTCTCGTTTCCATTCTTTTCCTTGAGCAGCACGCTGCCGAATATCTGGCGTTTTGACCGGAGGTTTATGTCCAGGTCTCTTGGGAGAGACCTCTTTTGTACCATCTGACGCATTTTTACATGCAGTCTTCTCTTCTTTCGTACGTTGTGGACACAAGGTGTGATGATGTCGTTGCCCCTGGCACATACGACATCCTTGACTTGTGCATTCCTTCAAAAAATGACCAGGTTTCCCACAGTTGAGGCAGAGCTTACGTGCCAGCATAAGATTGCCGATCTACTATAGTGGCTCATCAGGTGCACACTGACGACTTATGAAATTGTGAGGCACAAAACATACATTCGAATGTCTTGGAGTTTTGCTTCGGAACATCTCTAGGCCGTGTAGGTGCATCGTTGTCCCTGGTGTTCCTGGTGTCTCTCGCTGTCATGTCATTGATGCGTTCCTCTGTGTTGATCAGCTGATCAAGAAGAGTTATGGCGTCCTGCATTCTCCATTCTGCTTCGCTGATGTTCTTGGAGAGAAGATGTCGTGAGTACTGTCCGTTGAAGAGATGTACTTGAACTTGGCGAGAACTTTACGAACGAGATAGGAGCCGTTGAGATTCACCTGTTCCTTCTCCAGTTGTGATATTGTGGGAATGAGATATTCAACAGGCGCCTTTGGGAGCGAATCCCCGGACTATCTGCTTTTGCGCTTTCTAGACGCGCTGTAAGGTGTCTATCAATTTGGAGCTGTCTCCGTACTTCGTCTGTTAAAGGACTTATGGCGTCTTCGTAATTATCGTCATTAACAGCATAACGTTTGTTTACGTCCCTGGCTTCTCCTTGAAGCGAATGAAGCAGATAGTTGAATGTTTGCAGATTTGTCAACGGTTGGTCATGAACGTTAGCTAAAAAATCCTCCAAAAGTTTTTGAACTCCCATACCTTTCCTGAGAATCTCGGGATCGGTATTGGTGGCAGTCTTGGTTGCGCTGGTTGTAAGAATCCCTATATCAGGTTGCGCCAGTGTTAGGTTTGCCGGTGGCGAATTCATTGCGTCCCCTCCGATGCTTTGTTGACCGCGTGCAGACCGTAGTCGGGCGGTCAGCTGAATCGATAGTCTATTTGCGCGATCAATTGCACTGTGAGCGGTGTCAATGTATTGCGCCACCTGTTTTTCTTGCTCTTCGTCCAAGGCATCTTCCAACGCGTCGACAGTGCTGGTAAACAAGCTGAGTGTACTGTAAACTAAATCGGAGGTGTCTTGTAAGTTCAAACACAAAAGCCTGTGTTTCCTCAAAGTTACTGAGATCGCGAGAAGCTGGGACGTTAGGGGTCCATTTGGGATTCAAACGAGTCTATTAAGTGCTTAAGGTTGTTACAATAACGCGTCAATAACCCTTTCTGTGACCGTAATGCAGAGGGTCCTGCTGACGACATAATGACAGCGTGAAAAAGCACACTCCTTCAGCAAAGTAAACGAATGAAAAGCGTCGCGTATTTTCTAAATTTCGAGACTATCCGCGACAAGGTTCTGATAGAAAGCGTCACGTAGTCTCGGCTCCAAAATGCTTCGCGACAATCGGAAAATGATTTCCTTCAGATGGATAAGTCGTACCTCTTTCCTGTTCCTTCGTTGGGCCGATGCACCATATATTGGGTTCAGTGGTTATATTGCTAACTATTGAGAGAGATATAAGTATCCGACCAAAAGACGATATTGCCACAGTACAGAGAACGATAAGCCAAGCACTTTATAAGGCACCTCAAACTTGGGTAATTAAACTACAAATATATCAATGATATGTTATAAAACAATGTGTAACATGGATCTAAGCAAAATGTAGAATGACTGAGACGACGACCGAAAGAGTCACGGGCTTTTATACTGGACTGCAGGTGTTTCGCTTCTACAGTCCTATCGCAGCTTTTTGTGTGTTTTCCATGCATGTTTTTCCGTGGCTTCCGCGCTTCTGTGACTCTGCAGATGTTCTCCTGGAATTCCATCGTCGTCATCATTCAAAGCATGAACTATTAAAATATTTACTACGCTACGTAATCGCGGCTCACCGCGATACGGCCCGGCCGCTCCACACCATCAACCCGCGCTTCGGTGATGAAGATATTTCCTGGACCGTTAGCGACTTTACCGAGCTCTCGATGTTGATGTCTTGCAGAATCAAGATACTGTCTCCAGTAGTTTCCGCCCAGCTGTTTGTAGCGCCACGTTGAATTCCAAAGCGTTCACTCAGGCCGCGACTGGAGACGAACTCATCATTTCTGCTGTTACATGAAGGCCGACTGCCCGAAAAATCGCCCTCATATGCTGACTCGCGCCGGAATGCACTTTTTTTCCCCCCCCTGTAATACGAGTTATTGAGGCAGTGCGCCTCAGCTGTCTTTTAAAGCCGACGTATTTGACGCCGGGGCAGGTGCGCATTTGCACTTTTGCTACTCCCCTCAACGTGTTAACCTATCTAGTCATCTTCTCGAGTTGACAGGTTTTACCATGATGGATTGACGAACCTTGTTCCAGCTTCACAAGAGTTCACAGGTTTCGTCAAAGTGAGATATGTAAACCGGCACTAAGGAAGCAGCGATAGTACGAAATGCCGCCCCCCCCATCGTCAAACTGCCCTCAAAGCCTTTTGGGGCCTGAACGTTGGCTTCTCATTTTATCCTCGACTATACTCACTTGCGTTGGTGGTCTTCTTTTCTTAGACTAAGGTTTCAAGCCATCTGGGGTTGAGGTGAAGACTCATACTCGGCCATTTTGTCATCCTGATGCTGGCACTGGGTGCTGGAACCTACGTACTTCACGTACTTCTGTTTTGCACAGCGTCCTTTCTATTGATTTGAATATAGTTTTCCAGGCATCCTTTATCTTATACATAATATTTCGGTATACAATTCAAGGAAAAAATTATTTTTTAGACAGTTTATGACCTTTTTGGCTCTTTCCAAACTTTTTTTTCCGCACGCTGCTACATGTAATAGTGATACGCCTGTAATCCATGTTATACATCGCATGCGCTGGAAGGATCGGTGTGGTATATGAAAACTTGCTGCATAATGTTGAGCAAAATTGCTAAGGAAATGAAGAACCATTGGCAGAGAGTTAAGCAGCTCACACCTACGTTACAGCTGCCAAAAACAAACCACGATAGATTAGTTAAGAAGAATGCAGCGTTGTACGGCGGAACTCAGCGGCAGTCATGCCCACCTTCGCGTCTTGCTAGCGTATTCTGCGCTAGGAAATATCGTTGTGAAAAACATAGGAGGGTTCGACCCAAAGCGAGAGGGGGTCGTGAGCTTTATGACTCTCTCGTTCAGAAGAAGGAAAGCAGCACTCCATTATTGTTGTACGGATACTTTACTATTGACTGATGTCCTGGTCAAGGAACCTTATTGCTGCAGGCTTCGAAAAGGTTCTACGTTTGTGCCTCTGTAAGGAAATGGGGCTCACAAACGCATACCCTCTTGACCCTCCTCATTTTTTCGGGCGTACCGCGGCTAAAATGAAGCATATATGTCAGCAGGAAAGCCCAACTCCGTGACCAGACTTTTGGCGCTTGTTTTCATCCACCTGTCGAACAAAAATCATAGGGCCCGCCTCAGGCAAAAAGCTTCTTCGCCTTTCTTCATTGGGATTCTGCAGAGCATTTTCCACATTCCTTTCTGAGAACATCAATTTTACTGGTCTAGCACAGGAATGATTCGACTCTCCTTGTATGACGCCCGATTCGATAATCCTGCAATGCTTTTTACCCCACAGGTTTCTTTTCAGTTTCACGAGTTTTATTCTGTGGCTTTATGAGATAAAGTGTATGTATTAGAGCGTAATGTTGTGTATCTGAATGTAACAGTTTCCAAGAGAACTTGAAGCCCACTGTTTCGCCCCTAGCTCTTTGCTCTCCTGCCATTCCTATGCTCTATATCCCCATGTGGTTGAATTAGATGAATTAATAGAGCAGCCTCATAAACAAGGACGTTTTGGGCTAGGAGAAAGTCCCTTCAAGAACAGAAGCTCCGAACTTCATTGTGTCATAACGTTCGAATTTCTAGGTTGCTCCAGAGAATAGCGCTTTAGCTAGCGCGCAGGGTTTGATTTTTCACAGACGCTGTGCAAACGTTTTAACGACGTAATGAATTTTTAATTTTGAATAGAATTCTCTGTTTATCATAACCAATTAACACCCTTGTTACATTAGATTCATCAACCCTAATAGCTAATATCAGCTAATATTGCGTACGTTAAATCGTACGAAGGAGTACCAACCTAAAAAACTACCAGCGTACTTTGGTTTATCCAGGCATAGTCCATATCCTTACAGACTGACTATGCTGAGCTTAGTAAAAATGTGGTGCTCTCCCAGTTTAATGTAGAACACACTAGCGAAAAAATACCAGCTACCCGTCGGCGGTTTCCGCTCCAGTTTTGGCGAGAGCGCCATGTGAGAGCTAGGTTCGTTTTAGCTGTCATAAGGAGCGAATATTGCCCAACGTTATTGATCACTGAATCAGCCTGAATGCTGTGGTACTGTTTTTACGGCTTCTAGAAAGATAAAAAGGTAGGTTTGAACATGGACCTGTATCT